GGGGCGGGCCCTGGGCGACCCATTGGGCCGCGCTCGCGAGGACTGGCCCCGAGGCTCGCTGGGCCTGGGGGCGCAGGGCCCGGCCGGACGCCGGGAGGACAGAAGAGAGGAGGGGGTGCCCGGGAAACTTTCCTCCCCCTCTAAAGCTCTGCCCGCCTCGTTCGGTCCCCCCAGGTCTCTATCTTTCTGTGTTCCCTGGGAACTTTCCCTCGTTCTCGCTGCTTCTCTTCTTCCCTCCTCCCTTTCCGTACCGCTTCTTTTTCCCTCTCCCCTTTTTCTCTACCTCGTCCTTATCTCTCTCCTCTGCCGCCTTTACCTTTCCCTTCAGTCTCTGGCTGCGTTTCTCTCCGTCCTCCTCTCTGCAATCTGCGCGCTCTCTACCATGATCATTTGAGTTGATATTATTTCTTAGATATTCCACGTATAGTTTCAGAAATACGCATGATTAAATTAGTATAAAGCCAATATTACTATCTTTTCAAAAATACCTTCATGTTCTTCCAGTTTCAATCTTCAAAATCCGACTTCTGAGTAAAAATGAGCCTTTGTTTTTTAGGAGTGGGCAGAAGTTTGCCGACAGAAGCCACGCTCCTGTGGTGCTGCGGACGTAAAAACACCTAAAATTAGCCGGAACCTAGAGTTGATTTTCCAACCTGATGTGTGTCTCCCCCTCCCACGCACACCCATCCCATTCTAAATGTCTCTGGGACTACTTTATGCCGGCGACAAGCTGGGAAGAGGAGCGAGTTACCGGGTCCTTTGATACAGAACTTAGTGAAATAAAACCAACAGAAACGTCAACCACACACTGATCTGGCCTTAATGTGACCTCAGACAACGCGTCTGCGGAAACAATAACACGTCCCTATCTCTGGGTCGCTGATCGTGGAGGGGAGAGAGAGACTGGGGGAGGAGGGAAAGGTTCCCGGCGGTGGATCCTCAGTGCTGCGCTTAAGAACTTTTATTTTTACCAATTTCGGAGGAAACGTGATTATTTTCGCTCTTAAAAACAAGGGAGAGAAAAAGAGCTGGAATGAGGAGAAGTGCTCAGATCTATGCAAACTGAAGTCGGGGCTGGCCGCTTTCTGAGCTGCTTCTTTATGGGCCTCTTATCCGGGCCGAGGACCGCAGCTCCGGGGGAGCTAGCGGAGGTGATTGGCGGCTCCCCGGGACTGGTCATTGATGACTGCGGGGTTCTAATCTCCAGGAAACACAAGGGGCTGCCGTGGTCATTTAGGGGTAATTATCCGAGCGCGGAGGGATAGCGAATTCCCTTGCCTTTTAACTGGGCGCAATAAAAGCTGTAGATTAGGGGCGTCCAGATTAAGAAAAATGAATTACTAGAGCAGGAACTTTATTACCCGGACGGCGTCCGGGGTCTGGCGGGAGGGGTGGGACTGTGGACGCCTGAGCGATTGGCAGCCTCACATCTGTCCACAGGCTTTCAGAGATCTATGAAGGCCTTGGGGCAAGATCGGGAATATTCGCAGTGTGAAATTGACCCCGCCCTCCAGCTTTCTTATGGACCTGAGACTGCTCCTGGGCAAGGTTTGGGCCTCTACCAGATGCTGGGCGGAGCTGGACAAAAGATTCCAGGGGCCCAGGAGATCTTCTCGCGGGTACAAGAATAGACACCCTTGTAACTCCATTTTAAAGCTAAGCAAACTGAGGATCGGCAAAGCCGCAGGTTGAACACCTTGCTGACAATTTAGCGGGAAGACGAACTCCTATTGCTCTAATATCTAATTAAACTCTCGCCAGAACAGCCTCCTCCGCAGACCAGACAGAATCTTGCTTTGCATTCGGGTTAAAGGGGGAGAGGAAACGAAAGCCTATTCACTCTTTAGGTTAAACATTTTAAAAGTGACTAGTGTCTCTTGCATGACTCTTGCTTTGCTCTGCCCTCGTCCTCCATCTCAAAATGTTTGGTTCCCACATCACTTTCAGAATCCGATACGGCTAAGAATTTTCTCCCTAGAAAAATGCACATCAGCAAGAACAGATTGCACGCAACTGTGCGGACAGTTTCAAGGGTTCTGGACCCACTTCGAGTCTGCCAGTTAAGAACCGCTGCTTAAAGGCCAAGCAGGGCCTCGAACCCCACTAGTGGAGTCGTGCAGTGCAGGGATGGGATCTTGCGGAGCTCATGGCGATCTTGGGCAACAAGCGCCGCGAGGCCTGTCGGCCCGCCGGGGGCCAGGCG